GGGCTTGAGATCCAACTTGAAATGACAACACTGTAAGAGTAGACAAATAACAGACGGAAAAATTCTTCTTACAAAATATTTCAGCCTGTAAAGGAGGAAGGAATATTATAGTAATGACGTCAGAATTACGCACACTTTAATATATTGATCTCATTAATCATTAACAGCAGCTACTTCAGCAAAAGGAATATGATCAGGAATCATATCTCTCTTATTGGAAACAAAAGACTGTCTTTTTGAAGGAGACTTACCAGAAATCAAAGAATGGAAAAATGTGATCAAGCTTCTAGATGAGATACAAGTATAATAAGTACAATTTACAGGAAACACAGAGGACAGGTAATTGGTATTTTTCCATGCAGGAAAGAGATATTTTGAGCATACTGAAAAATAATCTCTACCTTTTAGGATGTGAACTAATATATTTGTAGATGAAAGGACATTTGTGGCTTACTTCACATATTACAAGAGGCAAAGTGTCTGGGGGTAGAGATAAACCAAAATTATCAATGTGTTTTTAATTATTGAACACAAATGATGGATTTTTAAATATAATTTTGTTACTGATATATGCATGATATTTTTCATAAAATAGCAAAAACACTTAGTGGGTTTCTGTATAGGATGAAATGAATTTTATGTAATAGTAACATTATTGTTATTTTGTAAACGGTAACTGTTATGCTTGTAAGCATAGCTGTCCTCCAGCGCTAGAATCTTTCAATGTGTTACCTATTTCAGACACATATTATTGAGAGTGGACTAGAATATAACTAAAACATACCATTTGGAAGGAAATTTTACTTTAAACAATGTGTTAGATTATAGAGGCCTTTAAAATAAACTGTACATTTATTTATTCACTTCAAAAAAAAATAATTTATTGTTACGCAAAACCCATAACCTTAACTTTAGGAAGACTTGAGCATGATTGTTTTTTCAAATTTAAATTTTTTATGACAAGTTTGACAACTCCTTCACCTTAGTTTTATTGTACGATATCAGAGCTAGGTGAGAGTGTTAGAAGGGTGTCTTTCTGTTTTTTTCTTACTCAAAAGCACTGAGCCCAAATAACTTATTCTAGCAATGTTGATTTCTATCCATTTGAAACTCTTTTCTACTCTACCAACATAAGATAGAATGTTTTCACATTTTGTTTGAAATCAAGACTATTTTTTACCTGATTTTAGATAAACAAAATCAATACAGAATGCCGATACTCTCTTATGTGGTTGATAGATTCAAAGAGAAATTTTAGAGACAGTTCCAACACTATTTGGTGAAAACCAGATTATAGATACCAAGGGTTTTGGTTGGCATACTTCACATTAGTCTATTTTAATCATACATTTTGAAATCATCCACTTCCCTTTGTTATAAGCAGAATTAATAACTCTCATAGAAAGTGCCTACTTCCAATTATGAGTGCCCTGCTTGGGCCACAAAATACGTATATTGTTCATTTGATCACGTCATGGATGTTAGGGACGTTGGAGGTGTTTTAGGTGTAATAATTTACTGTGTGGTATAAGACTCATTTTATAATTGCTTGAATGTGAAGATCACATCGATATCTCGTCTGTATTTTCAAGAGAAAGGAAGGAAAAGCAAGTTTTATATACCTTAAACAAGGTTAACATGGCCTCCATTTCTTGATTGAACTAATTCACATACAATATTCCATATCATCTTGGAGTATATTCTTACATTACAAGGAGTTCAGGTTAAACCGCAAACCGTGTTTAGCGTATGCAAAGCACTAGGAAGGCACCATTGTGGAGCTCAAATGTTAATTAAGAGATTTGTATTTGGGACAGTGGGTCTACTAGATATAGAGGAAGTGCCAGTCTTTTCTCTCGGTGAAAGTTTGAAGAACTATTTTCCAAAACGAATACACTCCTTGGAAAAGGGTATTTTTTTTGTTTTGTTTTGTTTTGTTTGATAGGAAATCCCGCTCTGTCACCTAGGCTGGAGTGCAATGGCAAGATCTCGGCCCACTGCAACATCCACCTCCCAAGTTCAAGTGATTCTTTTGCCTCAGCCTCCCAAAGAGCCGGGATTACAGAGGTCTGCCACCATGTCTGGCTCATTTTTATATTTTTAGTAGAGACGGGCTTTCTCCAAGTTGGTCAGGCTGGTCTTGAACTCCTGACTTTGTGATCCACCCACCTCGGCCTCCCAAAGTGCTGGGATTACAGGTGTGAGTCACTGCCAATATTCTTGTCTTTAGTGGAGAAAAATATTGAAATAGAGCAGAGATTGAGACAGCTCTTGACCTCCCAATAGGCATGTGGGGAGTAAGAGGAGGTAAAAACTAAAGACTCAGTCAATCAAATTAAACTTTCTTTACTTTGATGTCTGTAAGAGGTCTTCACCAGCCTTTTTGTATGGTCCTTGCCCTTGCATTTTGTTTCAAAGCTTTTACTTCTAAATGGCTGCACTGCAAACCTCTCATTAGACAAAGAAGTTTATTTAGTAGGTAGACTTGCACATGTGCAGAGGAAACCTTGTCAGCTTCCTGTACCCATGAACTAATAATCACTAAAATTATTATATATTTAAGAAATATACAACACAAAATGAGACAAAATTAACCTTCAGAAAATCTTACTTAAGGTTAAATATAAATAATTTAGTCATCAAAAAAACCTATTATAATTAGATGGGCTCCAAAGATATTAAATGATGGTAAGCACTATGTAATTTAAAATATTAAACCAGTACATGTTTCTATGAAAAAGGAAGCCATCTAATAAACCTAAAGCTATTAAAAAATATATATGACTAGTTAAATTAGAAAATCTAAAATTACCCTAAAAGAGAATATTTTAATCTATATGCATAACAAATAAAACAGTTATATAGATGATAATATTAAGAAAATGTTTCATAATTTAGGACAGAAAGAAGAGTAATTTTAATTTTTTTATTTTTTAAATTTCTTTTATTTATTTATTTATTTTTGAGACAGAGTTTGGCTTTGTTGCCTGGGCTGGAGTGCATTGGCAAGATCTCGGCTCAATGCAATCTCCGTGTCCCAGGTTCGATTCTCGTGCCTCAGTCTCCTGAGAAGCCAGGATTACCGGTGCCCACCACCATGCCTGGCTGATTTTTTGAATTTTAGTAGAGACAAAGTTTCACCATGTTGTCCAGGCTGGTCTTGAACTCCTGAGCTCAGACAATCCACCTGTCTCAGCCTCCCAAAGTGCTAGGAATACAGGTGTGAGCCACTGCTCCAGGTGAAAGTCGTTTTTAAATTGTGAAAGTAAGACTGGGAGCAATGGCTCATGCCTGTAATCTTGGCACTTTTGGAGGCCAAGGTGGGAGAATCACTTTGAGGTCAGGAGTTGAAGACAAGCCTGGTCAACATGGCCAAACTCAGCCTCTACTAAAAATACAAAATTACCTGGGTGTGGTGGCCATGACTGTGGTCCAAGCTATTTGGGAGGCTGAGGCATGAGCATTGCATGAACCCAGGAGGCCGAAGCTACAGTGAGCCAAGATCACACTACTGCACGCCAGCCTGTGCAACAGAGCAAGACTCTTGTCTCAAAAAAAAAAAGTGAGAAAGCATAGATACAATAAATGACAATTCAAGGCAACAGGAGATCAAACAAACAAAAAAACAAACAAACAAATTTGAGCATCTGAACAGTAGAGATAGAACCATTGGGTAAAACAAAGAACAGGACAATTTTTTAAGTGGAACACACACACACACACACACACACACACACACACACAAACACATACACATACATATTCATTGTATATTCTCACATGCACAGCTTTATATCATAGGATTAACCTCAGAAGGAAATAGCTAATTTATTCAAAAAGAGAGCCTAAATACAATCTATAACATTAATTCAGCCCCAGATCACTAAAATGCCTAGAATAGTATTATTAATTTATAATTATACTAGAATATAAAGAAAAATGAACTAGATAAGACTATAAATAATCATATAAGATTAATAAGCAAGATCTGATTAAATAAATTGAACAGTCTAGACATAAGTAAGGCTGTGCTGGCTGGAAGCAGTGGACATGAGCAAGAATGCTTTATAAATTAGGATAAAGAATTTTCCGTCTGAAGAGAACTCATTAAGAAAGTCCAAGTAGTGTCCAATGAAGCTCCACATATCCACCTTTGCATTGGACAGAAATTCCCACAGCTACCTCTAGATCAAACCCTGAGTATATAAGCCTGGGTCAGAAAAAGAAAAAAAAAAAAAAAAAGAAAGGCAGTTCCCTGGGAATGGGATAAGAGCTGTAAGGGATAGGGAGCATCTGTAGCTAGGACGAGTACTGAATCACGAAAGAGGCAGGAGTTCCTAATTTTATCCACTCGTACAAAAAACAGGCTAAATAACCACCAATCCCATCCATGCACCATAATCCTCTTCCCTTTGAGTACACTATAAAAAAAGGAAAGAAAAGAAAACTAAGCTAATAAAGAGAAAACGTCAAGACCATTTTAAATACATGATCAAAAATCAGCAGTATTCTCAGATAAGGCATTGCTTATTTTAGAATGAAAACAAATATAATAGAGATTATGAAAATTTTAAGTGATTATTTAAATTTCTATATGAAGGCTAAGTATTTATAATAGATGCAGATTAAGCATACATAAATGAGCCATAAAATAAAAATAGATATCACAATAGCCGTAACACCAAAGAACTAATAGATAAGATTTATAATATAAAAGCTGAAACATTTATTCTACAAATCCCACATCTTCCTAATAGAAGTACTTATAGGTTTAAGGCATTCTATTATATTGATTACATTATAATAAGATACCCAACTGAGAAAACTAGGATGGCTTTGCAGGCTACATCAAATGAGTTGACAAAAAGTTGGATAGCCATGGAAAGAAAATATTGTAATTTTTTGAGGATGAACTGGGTTATACTCAACAAAGACATTCTATGAACCATTAAACTGGTTCTGTGTATAACGAGACAAAAATGAAATGCGTAGCTTTTCATTTCTGCATGTTTGTATATTAGAGACATTGCGATGTCACACCTAAAGAGATAACTAAAATCTTTTAATCAAACAGTCAAATTTGGATGGATACTTTTACAGTGAGAATCCTTGGGAAAACTTTAGGAAGCAGGAAAACAAGTCCTGTCCTGGGACCCCTCTCTCTTTCAGAAGCAATGGAATGTGATGTATCTGTAAAAATGGCAGAGTTCATTGGAACCACTGAACACAAGAAGAAAATAGATATGCATAGCCTCTGACTTTTGAACTTCAGTTCTTTTGGCTGATGCTAAACAACTGCTAGTTCATTACTGTAGAATAGTGAAGCAAATTGTTTCATTAAAAAGGGAGTCATGACTTAGCCAAATGACAGTCATTTTCCAAAATGGTTCTGTGAACACTAACAAGCTCCTTGGAGAAATGGAAATGGCATTTCTCGTCATGGACCATACGTGATGTTTACAGTCTTGACCAATTTCACAAACAAAGCTTTCAATTCATCTGGAACAGTTCTCCTTTTGGCTGCACCTAAATTTCTGTCTCAATGTGGACTTCTACTTAAGATATTCTATTTGAAAAGAAAATTTAGTTCACTAATGACATAATTCGGGTCTTAGCTAGGACATGTGAACCAAATAAATGCTACAGCCATACACTCTAATCTTAAAAATATGTAGATAGTTTACAGCACTGAAAATGCTTACAAATATTTTACCTTCATTCATAGATCTTGCCCGTAGTGCAAACCATCCTGAAATGGACTGATCGCTTTTAAAAAGAATAAAAGAACAGGCAAGCCACTGGATTCCATGTAATTGATTAAATAAAGGCTTTTTCCCCATATAGGACAACACTCCCAAAACTTAATCATGGGCTTAATATTTATGATACTCACGTACATGTTCATAAGAAATTATCACATATAAAGGAAATCATCTAGAATGAAAATGTTGATGAAGCACTTATGAATATAGTGTCTTATATTTAAAAGAGCTATATAAGTAATAATTCAAACTGAACACTTTTCAGAGAAAATGGTAACACTATTATTAATCGTGCTAAAATAGTAGGTTCAAACCAGGACTGTTTCTGGCAAAATGGAATTAGGGTCACCCTTACCATAACTTACTGAATCCTTGTGGAAACACGTATGGAGAACAAACCCTCATAAGAGACTGAGATGCTAAATAAAATTTTTCTACTAACAAGGGAATTACTGTGATTTTCTTTCAGACAAATCCTAAGAGAATTCACAGGCCCTTTGAAAGAAGTAGCAGGTTGCACCATACTCTGTAAGACAGGCAAAAAAAAAAAAAAAAAAAAAAAAAAAAAAAAAAACTAAGTTTCCAGAGTATGAGATGGGATGGGATAAGCCTACCTCTGAGCACACACCCCATCAAAGAAACTGAAAATCCAGAGCATGGAAGAAGGCCCTAACATCCACAGCTAGAATGAATTCAGGAGGTGTCTTGACCTATAAAGGTAGAAGCAGTAGCAGGAAGTGCCTTGTAGGCATTCCCAGTCTCCAGCAGGAGTCCAGGGAAGCCATCCCTGACTACATCTCACAAGGGTCCTTGAGGAAGTCAGCCAACAAGCTTCGGGAGGGGTTGCAGGGTGAAATAAGTTCCCAGCTGAATTTTGTGAAATAATTTTGAGTATTGTATTAGTCCATTCTCACACTACTATAAAAAAACCGTCCAAGAATGGGGAGTTCATAATATAAACAGGTTAAATCCACATGGCTGGGGAAGCCTCAGGAAATTTAAAATCATGGCAGAAGGGAAAGGGGATGCAAGGACCTTCTTCACATGGCAGCAAGTAAGAGAAGAGCAAAGAAGAAACTTCTGAACACTTATAAAACCATCAGAACTCATGAGAACTCACTATCAAGAGAATAGCATGGGGGGACATCTCGCATGATTCAATCCCTTTCTCCCTCAACACATGGAGATTACAGGTCCTTCTGTCAACACGTGAGGATCACAATTTGAGATGATATTTGGGTGGGGACACAGAGCCAAGCCATATTAAGTGGAGATGAACTCCTTTGAACAGAATTGGGGGCAAATGTGCTGCAGACAAGAGTGAGAACAGGAGCTGGGTGCCCAGGCTTGCTGGAAGACACAGAGATCCCTGCTTGCTATCTCTGTGGGGAAGCTTATGGCCTGGGGTAGGTCAGAATTCTGTGTGCAGGTTACCTAGATCTAAATGCTATCTCCTTAGATCACAGTGGAATAAAACTGGAAACCAGCTATGAAAGGAACCCTCAAAACTACACAAGTATATGAAAATTTAATGATCTGCTCTTGAATGAATTTTGGGTTAAAAATGAAATCAAAATGGAAATTTTAAAATTATTGGAAATGAATTATAATAAATGAATACTGACCAACTTAACAAACACATCTGGGAAACAGCCAAAGTGGTGCTAAAAGTTCACAGCATTAAATGCCTATGTCAAAAAGACTGAAAGAGCACAAATTAAAAACTTAATGTCACACCTCAAGGAACTAGAGAAACAAGAACAAACTCAACCCAAACCCAGCAACAGAAAAGAAATTACAAAAATCAGAGCAAAACTGAATGAAATTGAAACAAACAAACAAGGATAAATGACACAGAAGGCTGGTTCTCTGAAATAATAAACAAAACTGATAGACTGTTAATGAGTTTAACCAAGAAAACAAAAGAGAAGATCAAAATAAGCTCAATTAGATATAAAATGGGAGTTAATACAACTGATACCACAGAAATACAAAAAATCATTCAAGGCTACTGTACACACCTTTATATGCACAAACTAGAAAATCTGGAGAAGATGGATAAATTCCTGGGAATATACCACCCTCCTATATTGAATCAGTAAGAAATAAATATCCAGAACAGACCAACAACAAGCAGGGAGATTGAGTCAGCAATTTTCAAAATTGCCAAGAAAACAAAATCTAGGCAAGACCTGATGGAATTACAGCTGAATTTTATCAGACATTCAAATAATGATATATAATAATCCTACTGAAATTATTCCAAAAGATAGGAATAGTGAGAATCCTCCCTGAGTCATTCTAACAAGCCAGCATCACCTAATATCAAAACTAGGAAAGTACATAACAACAAGAACAAAAAAGAAATCTATAGACCAATATATTTGATAAACATTGATGTGTACATCCTCAAAGAATATTAGCTAGCTGAATCTGATTCCAACAGCATATCAAAAAGATAATATATCATGATCAAGTGAGTTTCATACCAGGGTTGCAGAAATGGTTTAACACATGCAAATCAATAAATGTAATACATTACATAAACGAAATTAAAAACAAAAACTATGTGATCATCTCAATGGATGCAGAAAAAGCATTTGTTGAAATTCAGCATCCCTTTATGATAAAAACCATAAACAAAATAGGCATAGAAGGGACTTATCTCAAATTAATAAAAACTATGTATGGAAAGCCCACAGTCAGCATCATACTGAATGGGGAAAAGTTGAAAGCATTCTTCCTGACAACTGAAACAAGACAAGGATGCCCACATTCACCACTTCTATTCAACATAATGCTATAAGCCCTGGCCAGAGCAGCCAGACAAGGGAAAGAAAAAAGGGGCCTCCAAATTGAAAAAGAAAGTCAAACTGTCACTATTCACTGATGGTATGACAGTATACCTACAGAACTATAAAGACTCATCTAAGAAGACCCTAGATCTGACAAACAAATTGAGTAGTCTCAAGATACAAAATAAATGTATACAAATTAGTAGTGCTGTTATATAACAACAATGACCATGCTGAGAATCAAATCAATAACTCAATCCCTAAATATATTTATTTAGAAATATACTTAGCCAAGGGATGAAAGATCTCTATAAGGAAAACTACTAAACTGCTCAAAGAAATCGTAGATGACATAAATGGAAACACATCCCATGCTCGTGAATGGAAAGAATCAATATTTTGAAAATGATCATATTGCCCAAAGCAATCTACTGGTTCAATGAATTTCCCATTAAAATATTATCATGATTCTTCACAGAACTAGAAAAAAAATCTGAAATTCACATAGAACCAAAAATGAGTCCACATAGCCAAAGCAATATTAATTGAGAAGAATAAATCTGGAGGCATCATATTATTCAACTTCAAATTATACTACAAGACCATAGTTAACAAAACAAGAGGATACTGGTATAAATATAGGCATGTTGACTAAAGGAACAGAAGAGAGGACTCAGAAATAGTCAAATACTTATGGCTAACTGAACTTTGACAAAGCATACAAAAACATAAAGTGGGGAAAGGATAACCTCCTTAATAAATGGTGCTGGGAAAACTGGCACTCCACAGGTAGAAGAATGAAACTGGATTCTCATCACCTTATCCAGAAATCAACTTGAGATGAATCAAAGACTTAAATCCAAGACCTGAAACCATAAAAATTCTTGAATACAATATCAGAAAAACTCTTCTAGACATTGACTTAGGCAGAGAATTCATGACTAAGATTCCACAAGCAAGTAAAACAAAACCAAAAATAAATAAATGGGGTCTCATTAAATTCAAAAGCTCCTGCACAGCAAAAGAAATAATCAGCATAATAAACAGACAACTCACAGAGTGGGAGGAAATATTTGCAAACTATGCATCCAACAAAGGACTAATATCCAGAATCTACAAGTAACTCAAACAAAACAGCTAAAAAAAAAAAAAAACAAAAACAAAAACAAATGATCCCATCAAAAAGTGGGCAAAGGACATGAATGAACAATTGTCAAAAGATGATATACAAATAGCCGACAAACGTGAAAAATGTCCAACATCACTAATTATCAGAGAAATGCAAATTTAAACCACATTGAGATACCACCTTACTCCTGCAAGAATGGCCGTAATTAAAAAGATGAAAAACAATAGATGTTGGCATGGTTGCAGTGAAAAGGGAACATTTTTACACTGCCAGTGGGAATATAAGCTAGTAAGGAAAAGGAACCTTATATCCAAAAGACACATGCACATACATGTTTATAGCAGCAAAATTTGCAATTGCAAATATATGGAAGCAACTTAAATACCCATCAACCAATGAGCAGATAAAGAAAATGTGGTATATATACACCACAGAATACTACTCAGCCATAAAAAGAAACTAAATAATGCCTTTTGCAGTGAATTGGATGGAGCTCAAGGCCATTATTCTAAGCAAAGTAACTCAGGAATGACGAATCAAATATGCTGTGTTCTCACTTGTAAGTGGGAACGTTGCTATAAGAATGCAAAGGCATAAGAATGATGGACTTCAGGGACTGAGGGGGTTTAGTGAGGGGGTGAGGGATGAAACACTGCATATTGGGTACAGTGTACACTGCTTGAGAGATGAGTACACTAATATCTCAGAAATCACCGTGAAGAACTTCAGCTGGCTGTGTGGAGTGGCTCACACAAGTAATCCCAAGCACTTTGGGAAGCTAAGGTGAGCTGATCACTTGAGTTCAGAAGTATGAGACCAACCTAGCCATGGTAAAACCCATCTCAAAAAAAAGAAATTAGCCAGGTGTGGTGGCATACCCCTGAGGTCCTAGCTACTCGTGAGGCTGATCCCAGGAGGTGGAGGTTGCAATGCACTGACAAAGGAAGGCCCTGACTCAAAAAAAAGAAAGAAAAAAAGTATTTATGTAACTGTATTAGTCCATTTCACACTGCTGATGAAGACATACCCAAGACTGGGTAATTTATAAAGAAAGAGAGATTTAATAGACTCACCATTTCACATGTTTGCGGAGGCCTCAGAATCATTGTGGAATGTGAAAGGCACGTCTTACATGGCATCACACAAAAGAGAATGAGACAGCTTGTGCAGGGAAACTCCCCCTTATAAAACCATCAGATTTCGAATGAGAAATTTACTGTCATGAGAACAGCACAGGAAATCCCCACCCCCATGATTCAATTATTCCCCACTGGTTCCCTCCCATGACATGTGGGAACTGTGGAAGCTACAATTCAAGATGATATTTGGGTAGGGACACAGCCAAATCATATTAGTAACCAAAAATGGCCTGTACCCCAAAAACTATTCAAATAAAAATAAAAATTAATAAAGAATTTTTTTTTTGAGACAGAGTCTCGCTCAGTCGCCAGGTGACAAGCTGGAGTACAGTGGCATGATCTCAGCTTACTGCAACCTCCGCCTCCTGGGTTCAAGCAATTCTCTTGCCTCAGCCTCCAGAGTAGCTGGGACTACAGGCGCGTGCCCCTACACCTGGCTAATTTTTGTATTTTTAGTAGAGACTGGGTTTCACCATGTTGGCCAGGATGGTCTCAATCTCTTGACCCCATGATCTGCCTGCCTCAGCCTCCCAAAGTGCTGGGATTACAGGCATGAGCCACTGTGCCTGGGCAAGAATTTTTTTTTAAAAATGGTCACTGGTCAGCCTGCTGGATATAATTGTAGGTTGCCCAGGGTTAACACCCTCTCTCTTGGCTTACCTGCTACAAATGGGCCATGGAAAAAGGAAACGGACAACTGAAGAAGAAAGAGCAAGCCTTTCCCGAACACTTGTGTGGGATTTACGTCAAGAGAAAAATCAGGATCACACCCACCATAATAAATGTATTAATTTAAAAAATAGATTCAGCAAGCAAATAAAGTCTTTGACAAATGTGCCTTCAGAGAGACGAAATTGTTTTTAAAGTATCTTATATAATCGAAAGTAGACAAAAATAGTCTTAACTCTTACTCATTTTAAAATATCAATAATATTAAAAATTTATATACAGTACACTAAATTTATATACAGTTTTAATAAATGGTATGCTAAAATAAAATATATTTTCATTTGTAAGAAATATTTCTTTAAGACATTCAAACTTTGTATAAATTTTAAAACATGTATGCATTGTGCTTAATAACTATAAATATGTAAAGTATTTAAAGTTTATTTTATTCAGTGTTTTAAATGCAAAATATAAATTTTATTAAAATTTATTATTAAGATCCTAGTGAATATTTTTACAATTTCCAATTCTATCTAGTTACCAGTGTAAAGAATTTTATCACACTTAATCTTTGCTATATCTAGATCTACCTCTGGAACCATAAACTAGAGAGAAAAGAAGAGACAATTAATAAATATTAAGCACTATTGGAACATACTTAATCATAAATAACCAATAGCAAATAAGATATTGTAGAAGGATTTGAAAAGTTAATAATGCTGTCCTTCTTTCTACCTAAACCCGCCTGGGCTCAAGTTATTTCTGCACTATGAAACAGTGTACATCTCTGACATCAGCACCGAGAGGAACAGATATTCAAATTTATCAAGAGCTCTTTCTGGGTATCTTGGGCACACATAATGTTTCTATTTTATTATGACAATGTGTTGAACTACACTGAATTTTGAATGTTAAATCAGCTTTGCTTTTCTGGAATGCAAGTAAATGGCTGCAATGCACCTTTTTTATACATCATTGGGTTTGTTTTGCCAAGATTCACGTTAGGATATAAATGTATATGTTCACGAGTGATACTGACCTGTAATTTTCCTTTCTTGTAATGCCCTTGCCAGATTTTGATTTCAAAGGTATGCCAAATTCCAAAAAATGAATTAAGAAGTGTTATGACATTTTCTATTCTGTGAAATAGTGGTGTCATTTTGGTATTTGTTTTTCAAGACAATTTGGTAAGATTTAGTCATATTTTATTTCTATCTCAGATAAACCTCCTTGGATGCCATTTCCCATATGCACCTTCTGGATTTATGCCCAATTATCAGGCAGAGAAATAGATTTTATTTTATTTCTAACTTTCTTTCCAAGGGAATTTCTATAGCAGTCAGCCTAGGAAGAAGGAGATAATGCATGTGTCTGGAGTAGAAGGTATTTTGCTGTCCAGAGTAATAGAGATGAGTCAATAACACCTTTAAAGGCAGAGTTTGGGCAGATTTGCTAACAGTTCCTTTATAACATGAAGGCTTTTCTAACTCAAAGTGCCTTGGTTGTGGCACAAATTCATTGTGTGTAAAGAGCATCCCCCAAGACCACTCTGTATTGCTCCACACAGGACTTGGGGAAAGGTGAGCCAATGTGAATGAAGCTCACGCTTCTCGATATCCCATGGAGAATAAAGTCCTGCATCGCCAACCCCAGATCTTCTTCCAGAGTATATAAAACTGTGGTGGGCTAAATGGTGAGCTTGCAAATTAGGTAAACTATCACCCACTTTACAGAAACTGGATAAAATGCTAATTTCTCTAGAAGCAGAGAGAATACGTGTTGGCATTTCCTTGATTTTCAGATACAACTAAGCTTTAAACCTTGAATATATAAAAACAATAATTGTTAGATAACAACAGCAAAAAAAAAACATGAATCCTCCAAGTGAAAAGGGAGAAATAATATTTTAAAAATATAACTGGATAGTAAATCATAATAACTGCATTCTACTTGTCATTTTCTGTCAATTATCTGTGTTGGCTTACTGGGATATCGTGTTTTTAATTATAAAAACCAAGTTATACCAGCATTTAACGATTTACATAAAGAATTAGACAACCTATCATAATAATTTTATACTTTTATTGGATTGTAATAAGCATTCGTAAATTACATGTATCCCAATGTATAATGAAATGAGGGATTAAAAATTGAACCTATTTATATACTTAGGACTCACATCAATGAACAGATCCATCTACACTCTAGAACGCCTTTTGATTTCCTGTCCAGTCAGTACTACTTCTCAAGGTTAACCATTTTTCTGACTTCTGTCAGCATACATTAGTTTTTCCTAATGTGTATATTTGAATCAAAGAGAGTATGTATTTGTTTATGTACATTGTTAATTTTTGATTAATATTATATTTGGAAGACTCATCATCATTATTATGTAGTTGTAGGTAACTCATACTCAGTACTGTATAATCTTTGTGAATATGCCACATTTGTTTCCATTCTACTTTTGTTGGAATATGAGTTTTACATTTAAAGCTATTGCAATAACACTCGTGAACATTCTAGTACCTGTCTTTTGGTGAACATCTGAACTTATTTGTTTACATATAAATCAAGAGTAGAATCAATTTGGCCCTCAGGCATACACACACACACACACACACACACACACACACACACACACACACGTACGCATCCATATATAATTACAAATTTACCATAGTAAATATTGCCAAAGGACATTTTGAAGAGTCTAGTTGGCTTGGTTGATATTAACATAGGTGTAGAATTATATTTTAAACCAATTTACATTCTGACACTACGGTAATTCCAGTAGCTCCAACACTTAGCCAACATTTAGTGTTTTTTGTCTTTTTACATTTTAATCATTCTGGAGAGAATGTAAATGTATTGCATTTTGGGAAACAATTGCATTTCTCTGGCAGCTAATGAAGTCAAACACTTTTTCATGTTTACTGGCCATCTCCACATTCTCTTATGTGCAGTGTCAAAGTTGAAACTTTTTGCCAAGTTTCCATTGGTTTATCTGGTTTATAAAAGTTTTTTATGCGTGTTCTTTACACCAAATATGGCTATATTATAAATATCACCTTCCACTGAGTGGCTGGAAGCTCACTACTTTAATATTGTCATAATCTGAAGTGCTTATTTTCAATGTACTCTAATTTATCTGCTTTTCTTTACTTAAAGAAAGTGCTTTTCATGTCTTGTTTTCAAAATATTTGTATACTTCAAGTTCACAATGTTGTTGTCCTCTAAAATCTTTTTAGTTTTAATTTTAATGTTTACATGTTAAATTCATGTAAAAGTTACTACTATGGATGGCGTAAGGCACAAGTCATGATTCATTTTTTATATGGCTATCCAACAATACTTCCAGAAAAATTTATTGAAAGTACTATCCTTCCTCATTGCACTGTACTTTTATCTTAGTTGTAAATCAGTTAATCATACGTGGGCTTCTATTTGGGACTCAATTCTATTCCAGTGCTCAGTGTATTTAGGCTCACAGCAATTACAACAATGCCACCATGCCTTACATACTGTAACTTTATAGTAGGTCTGCATATCAGGTAGTGTCTAATCTCCCACTTTGTTCTTATAATTTGCCTTGATTAGTCATGGACTTTGACATTTCCATATGCTTAGAGTTATGTGGTGAATTTCAGAAAATGCTTGTTGAGATTTGATGAAGAATCATGTTAAGTATATTTTTTGGGGGAAAATAAATTACCTATTTACAATATCAAGTTTTGTAATTCATAAACTTGGTATATTTCATTGTTTATTAAAATATTTTAATTCTACCAATAAAGTTATGTAGTATTTGAGGTAAATATTTGCATTTTATTAGATATTTTTATAGCGTTTGACTTTTTAAATTGTTCATAGTAGTCTTATTTATGACAGCTGTAAGCTGGACACAAATCATCAACATCCGAATAAATAACAAAACTGTGGTACTTCCATACAATAGAACACTATTTGGAATTTAAAAAGAGCAATTAATGACACATACAACCATACAGATTAATCACAAAAAC